TATATATATATATATATATATATAATACGCCATGTAACTATTATTTGAAGTGATTTGCATGCTCTGGTATTTGGCGTTTTAAGAAATGGAGGAAGCTATAGCAGGGTCTGAAGTAAATTATGAAGTGAAGTGCAAAATTCAACATCTAAAGCTTTAAGGATCAGGGGAAACACTGGTATTATTTGAAGCTTTTTACATTCTACCACCTCTAGATATAGTAGTTGTGTAAGATTATTGATGGATGGAGGTAATCTCTCAATGTACCTTTCTCTTAGAAATAACAATTTAAGTTTGTTTTGATCTCCAAATGATGATGGGAATGTAATCTCAGTTCTATTCCTATTCTCTAATATCAAAGAAAAATCCTTAAGATTGTTGCATTGATCAAGGTTGAAATATCTGAGGCTACATAAATGGAAATCACTTGTGAGTTTGGTAAAGGACTTGCAATAAGAAAGGTCCAATATCTCAAGTTTGGCCTCATAAAAAATTTGAAGAATTCACACTAGTCAATATTGAACATCCACTAAGAATCAGTACTTGAAGATTTGTGGCTTTTGATGAATCAGGCAACTCCTTTAACATCTTGGAGAAAGTAAGGTCAACTTCTTTTAAATTCACCAAATTTTGTAATAAAATGAAGATAACAAATAAGCTAAATTAGTTGATTTCATATTCCTTAAATCGAGTTAACAAAAATTATAACAAAGGTACATATTTACTTTCACTCCATGCCAAAGATTTTCAACTATACACCATAGCAAATTCAATACATCAAGTTTCTCAACAGAAAATTCCTCTAGTAAGGATTTTAGATGGTATTAATATCAATAAAGAAATTTAATTTCAGTTGCCAAAAATCGAAGCCCTTTAACAAGAATATTAAATTCATCGAATTTGACATACTTAGTAATTTCTAGAAATTACGATTTGCTCATCTTAGAAAACATGCGAGGGCTTAGCTTTTGCTTCTTTTTTTCTTGCAAGGAAATTTGTATGCTTTTAAATTTTAATGGCTTCAAAACCATGCTAGCAATATAGAAAAAACAATTAAACATAATAAAAAATCACATTTCTCCCACAAAAAATCTCAATGTTAATAAAAATATGTTACATTCAAAAAATTTAAATGATGTTACCCTTTAGTTAAGTTTTAACCTTGTAATATTTCAATCAATGTTTCGCAAATGTCATCGAGATCAACCAATTATGATTTCTAGGATCTTCGTTAGACTCTCTATGAACAATCTCCTAACCCATTTCTTGTAAACTATTATGCATAAATATAAAAATATCCTAAGAGAAAATTATAAGAGTTTGTCTTCCAGCCTTTCTAATCCAACAATCATTGAATTATCACTTTCATTATTTTTCAACAAATATGTGAGATAGCCCACATTTACATGTTTATGTGATCTAAGAACGAAACATGCAAGATTAAGAAAATTTGATCTCTATTTGCAATCTAAATTATCATAACTCAATTTGATCACATCATAAACTTTTGTCGGAGATGTTTTTTCAAACTTGTCTAGCTCGCTTTCCCATACTTCCTTGTTTTTACATAAAGAAGATGAATCAAAACATTTAGAACTAGTGGAATACATTTGCCATAATTAACCACCCTATTCGATAACTTATCATACTCCTTTTAATGGTCACTTTGGTTAAAAACAACCAAATTGAAAAGTTCAAGTGATTTATTGGAATTGAATTATGTAAGTTTGTATATTTCATTAATTTTGTTAGCTTTAAGCACTTGTTCATCTCTGATTATTACAATCATTCTTCTACCTGGTCAAAAATTATGAAGAGTTTTAAGTAATTTTTTAAGTGATCTGAATCATTCACATCATCAAGAATAATGAAAACTTTTATACAACCAATTCTTCTAACAATATAACTGGACAACGATTTTATTGTGTTAATTTTCACAACATCTGTCAATAATTAAAAGAATCTCCAAATAAATTATTCCACATTTTCTTGATTGTTCTCTTTCATCGGCTAAAAAACAATAACATTCATAGTTATATAATATTTTATTAAATTCTTATTATGCAAAGGTTGTCTTGTCAATATTGTTCATACCTCAAATTCCAATAAGATAAATGTCTTTTGCCTCTCAACACTTGAGTATTAATAATTTTACATTTACAATTTGTTAAGTAATTCCAACAAGTCCCTTTCAATTAATCACGAGTTCAAACAATTTCATTATCACAAGATTGACAAATTCTTTAAGCAACTCAACATTATATATATACACAACACATATACAGAATGTCAAAATCAATCATTAATACTAACTCACTTTTTTCGAAGTTTGTTGGGAGGGGAGTCATCATGCATTAGAGAAAACTCCATTCTCTGCTTCATTCCTAATAGGGATACCTCAACAAGTCAAATAATAAATAAACATAAGGGCTTTTGTTAGATGTATCTAAAAATCTTTTAAAAGAACTTAATCCCTAAATTCAATGGACCAATAAATGATCTCATCAGAAATTTAAAGCAACATATTTTTTCTTTTATGTAGTTTTCTCCCTCTTTTATTTTTTGTTATAGATAGACAATAGTTTGAAACTGCCATCTTTTTTATTTCTCATCTATATTTCTTACCAACATAATCACACATATATTTTTATGTTTCATTTTCACTCTTTCTTTTTCGTTTCTTACATATTTCTTACCGGCCAAACAAGGGATCAGTAATCTTCACGGCTCAAGTGAAAGTTAAGTAGAAGAATAATTAATCTTCATGCCTTAAGTGAAAGTTAATTAAGTAGGAGAATAATTTCGGTGCAAATAAAAAAAAGAAACTAAGATAACATGATAAAAAAAGAGAGAAAACAACGTGGGCCTGGCCAACTGGGCCGGTATGGACAGCCCAAATATTGTTCGACAAAGCCCAAGAAGATGTGCTTCCTCTAACTCTCCCAAGCCGAGCAAAAGAATGTTTCTTGGATAGTTGTTGTCAGCGAGACCAAGCCGCCGTCGTCTCCATTCATTTCTTCACGGTGAGTTCCTCTCTCTCTCCCACATTTTTTTATTTTTATTTTTATTTTTTCCCTGTCTCTGTGTAAGTACAGTTAGAATCAGTGTAACTTTATTAACCCTCAAAGTTTGTTAGAGTATCTTCCTTTGTTATTAGTGCAGTATAGTTCTCCCACGCTATGGTTGGATAGTTACTTCTTCCTCTTGGATGCAAAATGCCGTTTCCAACGAATGTTTTGGCTTAGGATTTTGTAGATTTCACCGCCAGGAACTTGAGTTTAGTTACACATTGAATGTATACTTAGGGTTTATTTAGGGTTTTGTTGCATTGCATGTGTGAAAACTGATATCGCCAAGCTTAACTAGTTCCGTGTATCATAATAACGTCGTGCTTTTGATGGATACGTAGTTTTGGCGATTAAAAGCTGGTTATTGTGACTGTAGGTTCTCACTTAAAAACTGGCGATTAAAAATTTGTTCTGAACATAACATTTGTCGAAGATGTTGTTAATTCATTGTGTTTAAATTCCCAACAATGGCTCTCTGTTTTAATAGGAGACACCGGGATGGAATGCTCTTTATGATTTGATCTTGGATTATTGCTGCTGATTGTTAATTGTTTTCTACCGCTCTACATTACGCTTGAAGTGTCTTCTGAGCAAGGTGATGGGTCTAGAAAAGAATCCTCGTGTATTTCTAGATGTCTCAATTGATGGGGACCCTGTGGAAAGAATTGTTATTCAGGTAATAAGAAAATCAGGAGTTTTGTTGTTTAGTTTTGAAAAAGATATTTGAAGGTTGCCTCAGCATCGTAGTTTGATATGAATGAACTCTTTTCAAAATGGCAGCTTTTTGCTAGTGTAGTTCCTAAGACAGCGGAGAATTTTCGGGCACTTTGTACAGGTATCATTAAATTGTTCAAATAACTGTCTTTTACCTACATTCTCATTTTTTTAGTTGTTTGGTTGTTAGCTGTTGCTTAGGGAGCATGAACTTCCTATGTATATGGAGTGAAGTGAGACTGTAGAATTTCTTGTTGACCAACAAGAATGGTCGGCCCAGCAGTAAGGCATAGTAGTCAATCCTGGATTGTGGTGCCGAGCAGTAAGACTCAAGTAATATAAAAGAATAAAACTAAAAAAAAATGCATGAAAGAAATAATACAAAAGAAAACATGAACACAACACACCCCAAAGGATGTGAGAACAGAGATCAGAGAACTATATTTCAGAGTGCCATAGTGTGCAGGTTGGTCAGAAACTCCACCAGAGTTCCATGTGTTGGCCAAAACCTACACCAGAGTGCCATGTGTTGGCCAAAAACTCCATTAGAGTGCCATGGGTTGGCTGGAAACACCATTGGAGTGCCATGAGTTGGCCATAAACACAGTTGGGAGCTATAGGTCAGATGGTTTGCATCAAAGAGACCAGTGTCATTTACCTGTCAAAAAGGTGTTAGTTGAAAAATAGGGTCAGATAAAATAAAAGAGGTGAAATTCCAAGATTACCCCCACTTAAACTGTATCAAATGTTGTCGTTTGAGGGGTGAAGAAAGGGGAAACCATTGAGGGGAGATTTCATATCTGAGCCAGTATTTCACTGTCACAGAGCATGATTATCTACTATGGTATATTGTATTGTATAAGGTACACATTTTATTAAGAGAAAAAAAAAATGAAACATAGCTGTATACTCGTCTTAGTACTTTGTATTTTAATGTCTCCTACATTTACATTTCCACATAAATGTTAAACATTCCT